CCAAACTAATATTTTTACAGAACTAGATTCTAGAATGATATTCGAGCCATATCTCTCAAGCATCTCCTTATCCTTGGCTTTTATTTACAGTCTGACACCCATTTCTCTTTGGAATACAACAGCTTTGGAGGACCTTCTTTTAGATGTAATTCCAGTCATGATGTGCCTGACAGAATTGCATGTATGGGTAAACGCTAAAAATTGGTAGCAATTAAGAAAAACTTGTGATTTGTTTTGTTATAGATCAGCACTAGAAATTAACAAATGGTGAAAAAGCATATACAACTACTCTTCACAGCAGATTAACCCAGTAAAGGCATGTGTTGAAGAACACTTTTGCTTTTCCTTTACTTACATTGATCATATGAACAGTGACTTAAGAACAAATCTCATTTGTTTTAAGAGTCGAAATCCCACTTTTCCAGTATGTATTTTTGGTAACCAGGTTAAATACCGCAAACAAACCCTGAACCTTAACAAAATACTTTGACCTCATTTCTATTTAAATAAAGCAAGACTGTTTTGTACTGTAATTGGAACATAAAAACCTATCAAGAAAATTGTGTAATATTCTGCTCTTTTCTTTTCTAGACAGAGTGAGGATCAAAGGTTTTTTTTTCTTTTCTTGTTTGGCTTTCAGTTTAAAAGACCACACATATTACATATCTCCATAATTCCCATTACCTGAATTTCTCCCATGTACTGAAATTTTTACATGGTATCAGTAAGGTAAATGAAGACCTTAAGGGTCTTTTCCAACCTAAATGATTTTATGATGATTGTCTATACTCAAATTCTCAGCTAGACTTGGGCACTCCTTCTGCAAACAATCACGTACTACATGAAAGCACCCCTTCATTTTCAAGTTACACTGTAACATAATTGTTTGCAGAATCATGTTTTATTCCAGCCTTCCTTTCTTCTGTTTAACCCATCTCAATGACCAACCAATGAACACTACTCAGAACATATCTAAAAACCTCCTAGCTCTCGTCAAGGCTCAAACACTTATCCAACCAAGTCATTTTCTGATTGTATTGTCTTCAAATTGGCAAAATTTATAACCCCCTCCATGCTAAAATCCACATCTTGGCTGGTTTTAGGTCTGAGCCTGCAATGAGCTGTGAGCAGGTACAATTTCCCTGAAGCCCTGCAAACCCCTCTAACATCAGGGCTTTTGCAATTGTTAAGACTGGTTTTACTTTCATTTTGCAATGTGTCCTCTGTGGTAATGTCTGAATAATCACATATCTACTTCAATAATATATCAAAGTTGAAGGGATTAATTATTAGATATGTTGATAATTAATTTTAAGATAAATATACTTACTATGTCTAGAAAAAGATGCCCATGATATTAAGCCCCTAACTGAATTTGATAACATCTTAATTAATGTATTATTAACACATACTGTTTGGCATTTACGTGCCAAAATTACATTTAATCAGTATTATTATGCTTATGAGATTATTCTTCTTCTGTTTGAAGTTTTTGCATGGACTTAGATACTCTTGCATGAAGACTGCTTTATATTCTTTTCTAAATATTCTTTGACACTTGCCCTTTTGAGGTCCACCCATGCCCTCCCATTACGCACACCTCAGCTGTGGCTGCTAAAACTCTGATAGTTACACTGCTTTGTAACACCGTATGGATACCATGCACTAACCTGATTACTGCATGGCATCTTGCTTTGGTCGCTACTTTAGCTTAGTATGCGGCCGTTAGAAAAGATAAAAACAGTGGTAAAAAGTGTATCAATATCCGCATAGCCTTCTAAACCGTCTGGAAATGGAAACCTTCAATAATAACTTTCAAACTGCAAAATGAAACACTCCCCCTGAAAACAGTTCAGTCTGCAACAGTTTCATTCCATGAGAACAAAGATTAACTTTGCCTTTCTGCCTGGGGCAAAATACCCGCTCAAGTTAGGCAAGCAAGAACAGTGGGATTGGCAGTTCACTCATAATACCTATCTTCTGCATTCTAGAAAATTATCATTTTTGCTTGTTTTAAACTTTATAGCAACAAAATACAGACTGCGTGTTTTAGTTACATTCCTTTTTATTTCCGCTGACAATTTCTATGCCAACTCGATAAAATTCAGGTCTGTATAGAGTATACCAAGTGAACATAGAAGAAAAATACAGTTACAAAAGCTGTTTATCAATTGGATCATCTAAACACACCCATTTTACTAGGCTTGATGCTATGCTACAAGTACTCACGTTCTTAACTATTTGAATATTATCCCCCTCCATTGCTTCCAAAGACCACCATTAGAATACATTTTGTATATTTTTATTAAATGCATGTTGCCCTATGGAACAACTTGAGTTTTCCACCAATAAGGTGTAGAATTACTAATATTTGCATCATTTCTTAATGATTTGCAATTCAACATTCTAGATTGCAAACTGCAGAAAAGCCATAGTCAGATCTCATTAATCTGGGACTCTGTTTATGATTTCTTTTAGACATTGGGGACATCTCAAAGTTGTCTTTGTCAGTGCACAAGCTCCGATTTGATTGCATGCAGGGCTGGATTCATTTCCTGCAATTCTTCTGCTTCTATGTTGGAATGAAATTCTTTCCAAAGTTTTCATAAGAAACATGAACAGCTCCCACCTGAATGTAGGGGCTCGTAAGGCTTTGGTTAACATGAACAGCTCCCACCTGAATGTAGGGGTTTAAGGATGACGGAAAATCTAAACTTGAGGGAAAACTATCCCTGACTTGAGAGGAAAGACATAGAAATTCACCAGAGAACCAGTGAAAGCAGGTATGTATTACCAGTTCTCACTTTCCCTTCTGCCTCCCACAATGGTCAACAATGAGACATTGGCCAGGGATGCCTCCCCTTACTTGCTTGCTGATCTAACCATCTCCTGGGGTACAGCCCCTTATTTCTACTTCCCCTTAGCAGTGCCATGTTACCAGTGAAAACAAAAGGATGTGAAAAGAGCCAAGGACTTCAGACCTGAGGTGTTCTTCCTGCTGGTAGCACAAAGAAAGCTTGCAGCATCTGTTTTGGGAAAGGCAGGATGAAGCAGCACACATGGAACAAAGAAAGTGCTGAAAAATCTGAAAACGTGGCTGAAAAACAACATTAAAACCACTTGCATACTAGCAAAGGGAGGGCTTGATGCATTTTTCTTTTTGTTTCAAAGGACAGACACTGGTATATCTCTCTTAAAAATACAACTTCTACAGAGCTTTCTGGAAAAGACAGGTTGGTTTTATGAACTCTTCTAACAGCAGTCCCAGCTCTTCCACAGAGTAGTCTGTGAACCCACAGAGCTGAAGGATGAATGGAAGAAGCATTTTTAGGAGAGAGACGTCCTTCTGAGTATTTCTCACAAGCCAAGGCCAAAGAAAGCTTATCTAGAGCATGAAGGAAAAGGTGGACTGGAAGTCAGAAACCAGAGGGCTCTCCTACTGCTGCTGACTTGATTCCTGAAAAATCTTTAGAAATAATGAGAAAACTGAGGACACGGTAATGCATGTTTTTCACAGGGGGAAAGGAAGGGAGGGGCAGTTCAGTTTGCACAGTTTGTATAGGCAAATAAATACTTTTCCTTAAGCTGTGTCAAATCTTGTCGTAAACAAGTAGAAGCAGCTTTCAGTGTTCATACTCTAAGTGAAAGTTTTTAAACTAGGAAAGGCCCCGAGAAATCAGCTCTTAAGATTAGCGACCTTGTGGCGCATCCCACTTCCAATCACAAGTGAAAAATACGCCCAAGAGGAGTGGGAGAAATCAAGAGAGGCATAAACTCAGATAAATGCTATGATATTGGACTGGGAATGAAACAGTGGCCTGGAGAGCGCTTGCCCAAAAGCCCCTCTTAGCAGGAACCTCATGAAAGTCAATGTGAAATTTCTGGAAGAGCGTTAGTAGTTAAAGGGAATCCTATTACTCTCTCATCCTCACTGAAGCGCTCCCACAGCCCCCTTCAGTCCCACCACCGCCAATGAGTTTGATTCTCCGGCGTGCTTTCCTGGGCCATTTCCAAGGCGGCCTCCCCAGAAGGCTCCAGCCCTTCTTCCGGGAGCTGAGGGGGAGCGGCCGGTGACCCGTCGACTGGTCGCTGGTCAACTGTCGGCTGAACATGAGCCAGCAGTGTGCCCAGGTGGCCAAGAAGGCCAACAGCATCCTGGCCCTGTATCAAGAACAGTATGGTGAGTAGGACCCGAGAGGTGATCGTCCCCCTGTACTCGGCACTGGTGAGACCCCACCTCAAGTGCTGTGTCCAGTTTTGGGCCCCCCACCACAAAAAAGACATCGAGGTGCTGGAACGGGTCCAGAGAAGGGCAACGAAGCTTGTGAGGGGTCTGGAGAGTAAGTCTTACGAGGAGAGGCTGAGGGAGCTGGGGTTGTTCAGTCTGGGGGAGACTGAGGGGAGACCTTATCACTCTCTACAACCACCTGAAAGGAGGGTGTAGAGAGGCGGGGGTTGGTCTCTTCTCCCAAGTTACAGATGATAGGACAAGGGGTAACGGCTTCAAGTTGTGCCAGGGTAGGTTTAGACTGGACATCAGGAAACAATTCTTCACAGAGAGAGTGGTCGGGCATTGGAACAGGCTGCCCAGGGAGGTGGTTGAGTCACCATCCCTGGCTGTGTTTAAGAACCGTTTAGATGTGGTGGGGATTCCGTGACCCCTGCTACGGCAGGGGGGTGGGTGGGCGGGTGTGTCGCCTGCGACTGCCTCTGTCATTCAACAAATGACATTAAAAAAAACGGGAGTGGACGTCGTTACCCCTCTTCACGACGTAGGGACACATAAACAGCTGACGCAAATTTAGCAGGAGTAGGAACGGACCCAGACGAGGCCCGGCCTCCCCCCTCGGCCTCACGGCTCACTGAGCCCGCGCCGCCCGCTAGCCAGCCCCTCCCCTCCTGCCCCCTGACGTCACCCCGGCACGTGCTCCCGCTAGACGCGGCGCCCGGAAGCGTCCGACCGGGCAGTAATCGCTGATGGAGAAAGGTTCCGGGGCAGGTTTAGTTCCGGGGGCTGCTCCGCATGAACTGCGGCCGCCGCCGCCTCCTCGGCCTCGGCCCCAGCGATGATCCCCATCGCGGTGGTGGTGTGCGTGCTGGGGGGCTGGTGCGCCATCTACCTGGCGGATACGCTGCTCAAGGTGAGGGATGCGGAGGCAGAGCCCAACGGGGAGCCCTGGGCTCCGCTTCACCCCCCCTCACACCCCGCCGGGAGGAGGGCGCCGGTAGCCCCGTCCCGCCGCAGGCGGGGTCTCTGGAGTCGCCACCAGCCAGCGGCCTCCTCCTCGCCTCGCCCACCCTCTAAAACACTCGCCGCGACCCCCCCTCCTTCTTCCCCCCCGCCTCGCAGGCGGAGGGAGGCGCCGCTCCCTTATCCCGGGCCTGCAGGCCGCGGCTGGCGGCGCCCGGCCTCTCCGCAGTTCAAACGTGCCCCGGGGTTTCGCAGGTGCCGGGGCCGGTCACGCTGGGAGCGGAGGAGGCCGCTGCCCGCCCCGTCGCTCCTTTCCCCGAGGGCAAGGTCTGGAAGGCGAGACCCTTCAGCCCGGAGCGGCAGCCGGGAAAGGGGGGTGTTTTGCTTCCGCCCGTCGCCGGGGTTGGAAACGCCGCCCAGGCGGGTGCTGAGGGACCGGGCCGGTGTTAAAGGACCAAAGCTGCTGTGAAACGTTAGGGGAGACAGCCTGCAGCCTGCTGCGGCACTTCAGTGTGCTTTCTGGAGCTTAAACTGTTAGCATCCTTTAAAAAACCAAAAGCCTCCTGAATTTATAGGTTTGGTTATAGATTATGAGTTTCAGACTGATGAATTTTCTAAAATTACTGCGTATAAAAACATAACTAATGACCTTTTTTTTTTTTTCCTTTTGAATGCCTGTCCTTTCACTGAAAAAAAAACCCAACAAATTGAGGCAGAGCTCTATACTACTACTTTTTAAAGAAATAAACTTCAGTCTTCAAACAGTATTATAAGACTCATTTTCCTCCTGATGGAGAGAGGGGAAGGTTTGAAAGGAAAATACAGCAATTAGACATCATTATATTTAGGAATGTATCTGTTGCAAAAGTTCCATTAAGTTTGCTTTCTTTTTTTTTTTTTTAAAGCTCAAGAAATATCATTTGTGAGGCATGATTGAAATTGGCATCTCTATATACAAAACAGGCCCTATGCTAGTTAAAGATGAGGAAAAATAGAATTAAAGGTTTCATCTGTAGTTCTCTTGCCTTTTGACGTTAATGTTACAGTCCAGGAACTTCATCTCTTTCTGCCAAGTGCAGATAGGGCCTACTGATTTCCAAGTAAAAGATGTTCTTTCTGTCACTCCTGTAAAATATAGGAAGAAATAAAAGAAATTCTAGGTGATGAGAAAACTTGGAAAAATAAGTGGCTCCCCCTGCTGCTGATCATCGGAGAGCAAATATAGCTCAGTAAATGCTGAGATTTAATAATTGCCAAGTATAATGACAATAAAAATTACAGTAATTTATCCGAATATTTTTCAAATTTTATTACATCAAGTCTGTATTAGGTATTTGGGAACAAACGTGGCATTGTTAGAAGATTGGCCAAATACCAGAAAAATGTGCTCCTGAGTACGGTGGGACACACCAAAAACCACCAGAAGGGTCAGCCAACAGGCTGATTTTCTTTTGACAGTAACTTTGTGTATGATGAAAAGAGTGTGAAGCAGGAGCTGAATTCAGGTAGCAGACCTGTTGTGCCACAATGCTGTGATCCATTTGTATTTCTGAGATTCTGAATATCTCTTTCAGCATTAGACCTTAAAATCATTCACTTCTGGAAGTAGGAACAGCCACTCCTTGTTACAACCTCTTAGCAAAGGTGCTTAGCAGCAGCAAAGGTGAAAAAAAAAAAGAAACCCCACAGTGTTTGGAGCCAACATAGTGCCTGATTTATGTTGATAAAGAAGGGGGAATGCCTGGAATGCTATAGCAAGCAAGAGAATCCAGGAGTTAAATTTGAACTTTGATTATTTTTTTTTAATAAAAGTTGAAAAAGGTTGTTAATCATCAAGAAGTATGTGGGAGCTGTTGGGTTTTAGTGAACTTACTGCTGTATACATCTCAATGATGAGTTTCACAGTGAGCACCACAGCCAAAATAGAATTTGGATTAGATAACCAGATTTATATAATTAGGAAACTCAGAGTTGCTTGTTTTATTGCTGGTGCTGTAAATCTCTTACCACTTTCAGAACTGGAGGCTGCTGGCAACATAGTAAAAGGCAGTCCCTGCTTAGGCCTCAAATCACTTAGAATTTAATTACATTGAAAGGACATAGAGAGTGTGAGTGAAAAATAATACAGGAGTACTTTTCCATGTGTGTTCCTGTTGATATTTTTGGAAAGAGAAGGATGTGTGCTGTAACTTGCAGTTGATGTTTGTTCTGTAAACAGAAAATCAGTGTGCAACGTCTCTTGCTGAGTTTGTTCCCTTACTGGTTTTGTTCAGATTTCAAACATTTTGTTAGGCAGTCTGACTATTAGACAGTCCACAATATAGAAGGCATAGCTGTGTGTATAAATGCATTTTTGCACAAATAAATTCACATATTATAACATTGCTAGACTTACCTTACAAGATACGTTTGTGTTAGCAAACTAAAAGTATGCCGAATCAAGCTGGGACTTGGAATTTTAAGTCCCTCTTTTTGCTCTTCATCGAACCACTGGCACAAAGTTTCCATTGAAGCTTGGATCCTACAGAAGGGAATCACTCAGACAGACCCCTAAATTCCTGCTCCCCAGTGTCCTAAATCATGCCATTTCATTCTGCCTGAAGGATCAAGAATGAGCAAAGGGTATAAGGTTGTCCCTCCTTCTGCTATTCTGCAGGAATAAAGGACACGTTAGATCTGTTCAGTCAAGGTTAGCCATCAGCTTTTAAGGTCAGGAAGCTGAAATGGTTCAGAGCTCTTGAACAGATTTTGTCAGCAAAGAAGAATGTTAAGGACTCCTGCTTGCTGGCAGATATTTATGGAGCCCCTGGAGTATTTAGCAGACGTTCATTATTTTGAAAGGCTTGCATAAATAAACACGATATTGCTTTTGTAGTAAAATTAATCTAGCAAAGATCACTTAGAATTCAACTTAAAGAAGCTGAGCCAAGGCCTGTGTGAAGGAAGCTTGAAATGAAACATAGGATACCAACATTGTAGGTATCCCACTGTAGGGTGAGAGTGTACCTGGTACTTTGGTGATCCTGTCAGGCTCAGGACAGAAGGAGCAAAAGTTTGCGCAGAGCTTTTAAATATATTTTGCAAATGCAGTCATTTAATGATCATTAATACCATTTACTCAGCTTGTGAAGAAAATGCAAAAGGAAAATTAATTTTGGTACTTTTTTTTTTCCCATATTTGACAAATGTAGGGTCAGTAATCCCATATTTCTCATGGAAAACTTCATATTTATTTATGTCTTGCTAGTACAGTGGGGCTGTGATGTGGTTTGAATGAATTTGAAGGGATGAATTTGTGGCTTTTGTAGGAGAAAAAGTGGGTTTTGCATGTGAAGGAACACATTTTTAAAATGCCAAATCAATATATCCAATTAGCTTTATTGTAATAATATGTGGTTGGATGGGTTTTTTTTGGAACTCTGTGAATGAAGAGGATGTGTTTACTTAATTCCCAAAAGACAGTCTCTCATGTCAGAGGTACTTAATGTCATATGTATTTTTGTTCTTAATTATCTGGTAGAGTATGTGAGGTCGTCTTCTTTGTTTCTTTGGCTTATTTTTAGAAGTGTAATCATCTTTGTGATCTGTTAAAGTTAGTGAATACTGATCTGCTTTTGGACACTAAACTCAGTGGTGTCTTAGGGCATGACTAGTGTTGATTAGGGAACACATTATGATCAAAATTTCTGTCAGTGACCTCAGCTGAGAGCAAAAATGTGACTGAAGTCAGTAGGGCGAAGAAGGAGGAAATGACACACAGAAATATACAGGCAGAAAGGATACATGGTGTAATAGGTGATAAATGAACGATGACCTGAGTAAATGGGCCTCACGTCCAAGGAAAATTGTTACTTGAAATAAATTTGTAGTGTTCAAATTTTAATTAATTCAACAAAATGGGAAAAGCAATGAATATAGATGTGCAAGATGAGATCCTCATCCCCACCACCACCGCGGCAGGACAGGAGGAATGCAAGGAACTTGGCAAGTTCTAAATTTGTTTAAAGAACCACAGATGACAGCCAGAAACTTGTGAAGCTCCTCTTGCAGGGAGATAGTGGAGCCAGTTGTGAACAGCACATTCCCAATATCTTCAGTAGGTGCTGCTGCTCGTAGGGGAAACCCAGGAACAGTGCTCCAGCTCTGAAACTTGTCTGGGTTATGTCAGACACACTCCTGCCTTGGAACTGCCCGAAGTCAGAGGGCTCAAAGCTCTGGTGTGCTTTTCCTGAGCTTGTTACTCTTTCACCTCCAAGGAAAGCGCTCTTTGGTTGGGTTTCTGATACTAGCTTCCATGAAGCAGGTCGAGTGAAGCTTATTGAGAGGACAAGCGCCATGTAATACAAAGTAGCAATTGCAAAACTATGTCTGTTGGTCTATAATATCAGATAATACTCAGGTAAGTATTGGTTGCGTAGTTTATGAGTCGCATTTCTCATGAAGAGAAATATTTGGAACTGCTAGGAAGGTATTCTGGCAGTATCTTGAAATGCTGGGAAATTATTGTAGCGAAATTGCTGTTGCAATACAGGTTGATAATTTAAAGCCAGAATTCGTTCTGGCTTTTTGCTAATATGATCAAGTATTTCAGTCTCTTTAGGCGTAGTCTCTGTGTTTGAAATGTGGACCTCACTTTTACCCTTATTAAAGAGTATCTACAGGACTGATCTGGATTTCACCAATATTAGAAGCATTTTTTTCAACTGAAGCCAAAAGTAGCATTTTTCTTTATTGTAGCTTTAAAAATGTTTACTGGAATAGAACTGAAAAAGTACCATAAACATTTCAGTCTTTAGCCTTCTAACCAGACAGTTAAAAACTACTGAAACTCATTTAACACTAGGAAAGATGATATAAGACCTTGTTTGTCAAATAACACTGGATACCCGATCTCTCTCACAATCCTAGAACTGTTGCGATTTACATCAAAACAGTGGCAGAACTTTTTCATTTTCCATGTGACACCTACCTATATGTCAAAATATAAATAACGTGCAGCACATTTACCTGAAGTTATACATCTGTGTAATCAGATCACATTTACTGCTTGGTCACATAATGCAAAATCTTCGTAAAAGCTTTTCGTTAAACTAATTTTCCATTGTTTTGCAGTCATCCAACTCTTTGAAGGCGTCTTATGAAGACTGGCTGCTGACGTACGGCCTGAGTGTCTCTCCTTTTCACATCCGATGGCAAACAGCTGTTTTCAACCGCCAGTTCTACAACTGGGGGAGATGGAAACCCAGATTTCTATATTTATGGTATAAATTCGGGATTTATTCTCTTCTGTCAAATACAATGGCAACAACTTAACCACATCTGTGCTTTTCAGCCTTAAAAGTGTGTTAGATAGATGTGGTTATTTCACTGGGCTAATGATAACACCAAACTAGTGTGGTTGTGATAATTGTACTGTGCCAGTATAAGTCTTCCTCCTCTACTTAAAACTACGTAGCTGTAATATGGGTTGCAGATTGAGATTCTATAAAACTAGAAATCTGTAAACTACTTTTACCTATGGTTTGAACTATACATAGTTCTTAAGGGTACAGCTATTACATGTAGTACTGCACAGAAAAGTAGGTCTGAAAGCAGCTTCTCATATCCTAGATCTGTCCATCACTGTACACTGAGCTCTCACCTGATCATTAGAGTTTACAAAGTATTCAAAGACAGTTCTGTCCCTGTTGTCAGTCATTGCCCAGACATTCAGCAACTATACATGCTTAGAAGCACATTGCTCACCTTCTGTCTTTTACCTGCTGGCACCTTTCCCTGCCAAGATTGCACAGTAAATTACAGATTGAGTAAATGAGCAGGATGGTTTGTATGGGTGCTTCTGGACTGGTTTAGAAAGTTATTGCTCAGTTGCCTTCCTAGCATGACTTTATATCTGCTCTGAAAATATGAAACGAATAAGGCCTGAATTTCTTTTAATTTCCTGTATTGCTACCCTCAGTAAGACAGTAATAAAAGAGGTCTGCTTGGTATTGGTTTCTCTCATATGTAATGATTTTACTATTTCAATTTGGAACAGTTCTATATCAATCACAATTTTTTAATGGGTATAATTTATTACAGTATAATGTTTCCACCAGTCTCTTTAATTAACATTACAAGTACACGTTGCTTAAAATAAATCAACTAATTCCCAGTGAGCTTTATTAAGGATGGTAAGAGAACAGTTATGCTATTGTGAGAGGAAGGACTGTTAGTGAATTGAAGTGTTTTAGCTAAAAAACTTTACCACATCCTTCAACTATTGAACAATGTATAATAATAATGCTGCTGAATAAAAATTCACCACTAGGTGGACTGACAAATTTAAATTATTTTCATCTCTGATTTTAATGAAAAATAAATTGGTTAGAAGAAAAATATGTTTTAAGTAATTGAACTTAATCTGGTCTTGCAATCATACCTCTTAGTTGTTCTTTAAAAAATGTTGAGTCTCCTTTATTGTTTTTTAGCACTTTTTGTTGTTGGTGAGGAAGATGCAAAATTTACTGAAAAAGCTTACATAAATAAATACTTATGCTACCCCATCATTTGATCAATGTATGTAATGGTGTGCTGCAATACGGCAAATTATACATTGTTAATTATATTTTTATATTTATAGCTAGTGGCAAGTTTCATGTATTGGGTAACTGAATAAAATTTAGAATGTGTAAGAACAGCATAAAAATATTTGAAAAATAATCAGGATGTTGTTTGGATGTGAGACATTTCTTAAACAAGGAAAATATTATATGTTATTAGTCAACGTTATGAGTTATTGTCATTTTTAGTTTCCTTTAGCTAATGTCTTTTGTACTGGATTTTTGATACCTGAATGTAGCATGGGATAAGTTTTGCCCCATGAGGTTGCTGCGCTAAATTGCGCTGAAGCGGTTACGTGTGCAGAGAATATACCCTATCTTCTTGCAGCTACGCATTGCTAAGCTATTTGCTTCTCTTTGCAGGTTCAGCATAGGAATGGTGTTTGGTATAATTGCCATGTTTGGCTCTGTTATTCTTCTCGGGAAGACACTGATGCAAACACTGACACAGATGCTCACCGAGGCACCGAAAGCCCAGAATGATCGTATGCTGCAAGTTGTGGTAAGTATTCTGTCCTCAGGTCTTTATTTGAGAGTTATGAACCCATCTTAATCAGCTTCTTACTGGGGTATGTGATGCTTAAATCCACCCATGCAAGAATAACCTAACTGCTGATACTGATCTACATAAAAATTTGCTGGTTTGTTATCAGCCTTAAAAATGGGGAGCGGAGGTAGTGAAAGAGGGGAAGGCGAATGAAAGCAAGCATGTGGAAGAGTTTTTATTAAAAATTCTCAGGAGTGAGAATTGGCTAGTAATTTTGGAAAGCCTTAAATTATTATATTACTAGGAATATAAAACAGAGCTAAGAATTTGCCTCCTCTGAGCTGTGCAGTGTAGAAGCGCTGGTGGCCTTAAAGTTTGCAGAGCAAATCTATAATCCACAAGAAGAAACAAATTGTGTTTCATTTATTACAAAACATTATGGGAAAAGGAAAGAAGTGTAAAAAACTTTGTGTGATAGTGGAAGCAAAGATTCATAAGTGAGGAGATGGCTTATTTTTTGATTGTTCAAGGGCTTATGTCCTAATTTACAGTATTTCAAGTTCTCTTTCTGGCAGTCTCTAGTCAAAGGCCTAATAATAATGTATTTAATTGTTTTATGGATTTCTGATACTGGACAGTATATCATATGGTTTTCAAAAGGAATGTATTTCACAGAATGCTAGAGATTGCAAATACTGTCTTTTTTGTCTCTAGGCAGTAATGGAAGAACTGACATGGCCCTTACAACAGTTTTAACTCGGAAGGATTTCTAGCCACTCTTGTTTCCTCAAGAGTGTTATCTGGTCAGAATGTACGAACGTTTTCCAGGAATGCAGAAAGTTCTATGATTGCATAGCTTAGAGCCAAAGTGGCCAAGCATTTTACTCAAAAAGAGTACTGAGCTAGTCTAGTGAACAGAAGCTGGGAATTGTGCACTGGCATGAGTGCAGTTAAACTGACTGCATGCAGCTAAAAAATTGCATTGCTGCAGGAAGCCTAATGAGCATGCGTCACAAACTCAGTGCTTTTGGGACGGTCATCATTAGCCTGCGTCACAAACTCAGTGCTTTTGGGACGGTTTGGGTCTGTTTCACACATGCCGGGTGAATATAGCAAACGCAGTATATGATGGCAAAAGCAGGCAACGAGACCTGGGAGGGAACTGCTGGTACTGCCCCTGTGGTCACCCGGCCCACAGCCTGCTCCTGAGTTATCTCCAGAAGCAGACTGGAGTGGGCTCTCTGTAGAGCACAAGTTGAACATGAGGTGATGCTATCTGTCCTCCCACGTGCCCAGAGCAGAGGACCACTGGCAAGGCCAGGTAACTGGTGCATTAGTGCCACCAGCTGATGTTGTTATACAAGAAATGGATGCTTCATGAATGAAGAGGAGCGGTCTTTATACAGTGAGGTTTGATAGTCGTGCCAGTTAAGGTAAATACCTTGGTCATGATTACACTTTGGACAGAATTTTTGAAATTATTTAGTGTAACAGTAATGAAAACAGCCTTTTGAAGGATTTATTGTCTCACCAACCTATTGTAGAATTCTGCTGAATGGGTAGGTGAATATATATAATTGAGGCATGTGCAGGACTGAATGAAAGTGGGATCAAATGGGACCTGTTCAGTTGGATCTGCAGCCTTTTGTGTCCCACAAGGGTGGGTTTTGGAAAGAGAGTCCTATAGACAGGCCAGTTATTTTTGCCCATACCCACTGGACTGCAATTCAAATTGTGTTCACATCAGCTGTTAGGGACTGTACTGGAGTGTGTCCTGCCTCAAGCTGGGAAAGCTGTGGAGCAGACAGGAGAACTGTCCCAGAGCAAGCAGCAGAAATGGCCTTATCATCCCACTGCAAAGGATGACAGGGACCGAGCAGGAGGAAAGTCCATTAGGAGGGAAGAGGGCATGGTTCCTCATTCCCTGATTCGTGACCGCTTTGAAGCCTGTCTGGAAAGAGTGACTGGTGCAATAAAGGACTTGTGGAGTGGTGGGAATCCACAGCCACAGGAGGAATGTGAGGGACCTGCATAATGTTTATATAAATTAAAATAGTATGCTTATTTTTTTTTAAGGTTAATTGCCATATGTAGACTGCCAAAAGTTGAACAAAAGAAAAATGTTACCCTTTTTTCGACCTTGTAAATTTGGGATAGTCTTGGGATTTGGATAGGGAGACGCCTGCATAATATGTTTATATAAAATAAAATAGTGCACTCATTTCAAGTGCTTGCTTTTTTTTAAGGTTAAATGTCATATGTAGGCTGCCAAAATTTGAACAAAAGAAAAATATTACCCTTTTTTCGACCTTGTAAATGTGGGATAGTCTTGGGATTTGGATAGGGAGACAGAAGGGAGACTGACAGTTCCAATTGTAGGCTCATTTTTTGAAATTTTAGGGCTTATAGTGTTTTAAGTGCCATACAATTTTTTAATTTTTTTTTGAGGGGTGGATCTTCTCTGTAGCTGCATGACTGACTGCAGGACATTGTGAACTAATGCACACAGTTGCCAGGCTTGTCTCATTTGAGTGCAAGTCTGTGTACGTTTTTATAAACTTCTCGAGCTTAATATAGAGTAGAACACATTTGGTCAGGGCTGTGGTGAATAAGTAAGGCAGGGAGAAGGCTTTTGCGCCTGGAGAGGTTTTCAAACTTCAACAAAAGAATATATATTTAATATATTTTAAAATACGTTGACTAAATTGGGAGAAAAGGCACAAACAGATAGTGCAGTGTGAGAATGGCCCCAATTCTGTTGTGGGTCTGAAGAAGCTGAGTGAGAGCAGCCAGTTTAGGGGCACAATGATTTGTCTTTGTACCTCTTGATTTCCTCCTATGTTTTGTTTTGTTGTCATGCCCACATCAACAGGTGCCTGGTGTAAATTTGCCTGTCAGCCAGCTGACCTATTTCTTCGCTGCAATCCTCATCAGTGGTGTGATACATGAAGTCGGCCATGGGGTGGCAGCGATTCGGTAATACAGATTGCTTTTCTCTTACTGTGTGCCAACAACGCCTAATATTCCAGAGCATTTAGTCACAGGTGAATGTTGTTAGCACTACTTCAGTTTATCTAGGGAGTCTGTTTATTCTGTATTTCATAGCTTCCTTAGGAAGGGTGTAGAGTTTTAATACAGTGTCTATTCTACAGATCATGAGAAAGGATTTCTGCTTGGCAAAAATACCACACTGCATCAGGTTTAAAATAATACTTCTTTTAAGTGTGCCTGTTTTCAGACAGCAATTGCATTTCTGCAGCTGTGGCACTTGAAGGGGACCCATGCGCTATTGTACAAAGCTATTTTTAAAATAGATTTTTCAATTGATTTGTTTAAATGTAGCTTGTGAAGTAGCTTACAAGCAGACTCGGTTAACTCAGTAACTGAATAACAGTAACTCAGTTAAGTGATATTTGCCCCTGTTAATCTCAGTGATGTGTTAATTTTTGTCAAAGATGATATTTTTAATGCCACTTAACTATGATGATTACATCACAAAAAAGTTATTTAACATGGTTAGTCACTGCTGTTAAATGACACTCTAGCATAAGAGGGTTAAGTGGTAGTTACTGAGACCCATATGCAAATGTCCTCTGCATTTTTCCTGGACATCATCATTATCTGCCCCATAAGCACAAAGCCCAAAGTTGTTTCTGTGATTTTCTTGAGTGTAGGGAGTCATGACTGCATCTTAACCCATTACTACCATTTTTTATAACCCCGAAATTTCTCAATTAAAGCAGTGGTTTGGGACCCTCCGTGTTTCATATATTCTGTTTTTCTTTCGTCTTTTTTCCCCTAGTATTCACAGGGATTTTTCTGTTGAGGATGAACTAAACACAAAGCCCGAAGTTGTTTCTATGATTTTCTTGAGTGTAGGGAGTCATGACTGCATCTTAACCCATTACTACCATTTTTTATAACCCCGAAATTTCTCAATTAAAGCAGTGGTTTGGGACCCTCCGTGTTTCATATATTCTGTTTTTCTTTCGTCTTTTTTCCCCTAGTATTCACAGGGATTTTTCTGTTGAGGATGAAGCTCTTGCTCTTGCTCATCCCACTACAGGAAGAATTTTTTATAACCCCAAAATTTCTCAATTAAAGGGGTGGTTTGGGACCCTCTGTGTTTCATATATTCTGTTTTTCTTTTGCCTTTTTCCCCCTAGTATTCACAAGGATTTTTCTGTGGAGGATGAAGCACTTGCTCTTGCTCATCCCACTACAGGAAGAAATAACAAAATTTCCTTTCTCTTAGTGTCTTCACATGCTGCTGGCTAACTGCAGAGAAGCCAGGAGTAACTCTAGAGCTCTTTTTAAGCTGAATGAGTAATTTTGTACCTTAGTGGTGTGATATCTTCATTCAAGATCTGGAGCAAAGGCTCTGATTAATCAAGTTGGAGTTATATTTTTGTTAAAAAAAAATCAATTCCCAGCTATTTCCAGGGGAAAAATTACTTTGTCCAGTGCACATTGCTGCTGCTGCTGCTGTTTTGTGCTTGGCATCTTTTTTTTTTTGCTTCTAGCACAGCTTGAGTCTATAGTGCTGTTATTGTGAATCCTCAAGGTTTAGGTTTTGCAAAATAGTTGTGTTGTGGACAAATTTTGTTATTCTGTCAAATCACTTTGAATCCCTGAAATAATTTTAATTTGTTAGTTTACAATTTACTCTAAGTTTCATTTAGGAGAAACAGAGAAATTATAAATTCCAGAAATCTTTACGTGTCCCTTAAAAGGAAAACAATTGCTTCTTCCAGATAATTTTTCATAGATTATTTTGAAACTGCATCCTACAGGCTGCCATTGTTTTACTGAAAAGAAAAAATCCCTCAATTATCTAAATATGCATTAACTTGGAAGTAGGTCTTTTTTTAGAAGTATTTTATGTGTTAATGTTACCAGGAAGCAGAAAAAAAGATGAACTTATCCTTATTTCTTACCAAGCTTTTTTGCTTAAAAGTGATATCTACTGCAGAAAGCATGCTTTAGTTTCATTATCTTTCAATTATTCATACTATAAAAATAAGTTCATTTTATAATTATAATTTTAGTTATTCTTGTTGTCAAAAATATGCGTGCTATGTAGAATCTTTCAGTTTGTCATTTGTTTGTTTGCAGTAACACCACTTCATTTTTCTTCTTTTTAAGAGAACAAGTACGATTTAATGGATTTGGGATTTTTATCTTCATTGTCTATCCTGGAGCATTTGTTGACCTCTTCACAACCCACTTGCAACTTATATCTCCAGTCCAGCAATTAAGGATATTTTGTGCAGGTAATAGTTTGTGCTTTTTTTATTAAATCTTTACTTAGCACAGTTACTTATTCTACAGGCATCATTTGTGAATCCCTGATGGAGGATTGAAGGTTTAAAATGAAGAAGTACAAAAACTTCTCTTTACCTAAAAGTGATTCTTCTGTTCAGAACCTAAATTGATTTCAGGAAATCATTTGATCATTCCTGTCCGTAGTGTGCTGTTTTCTGGAGAAGAGATGACAGTTTCTAGGAGTCTAAATGAGTACCAGTTTCCTGTCATGAAAAATGTTATTATATCCTAGGTCTGATTGAGAATAGTTGTGCCTAATAAATTCTGGTTGTGTGGTTGAGGAAAAAAAATGTGTTTTCTGACCTTCCTCTCTCATTAGAAAAAGCTCTTACACCAGCTCAAGTGCAGAAGTACCTTTGTTCTTGTTGGGGTTTGGGGTTTTTTTGCATATTGTATGGCCCAAGTGGCAAATCCTTGGAGCTCACAAGCTGGAAAAGGCTCAGCCGGAAGACTGGTGGTATGAGAACAAGACTTGCTGTCACAGGTGAAAACCCTTGAGCAATTCACTATCGTTTTCTGCCACAGGAGTCATCTATTATATGATTTTTTGTAGTATTGTGAGTAGTTTTCAGTGACATGTGAGTTAAGTTATTATGCAGCTCACTGTGTTTTGCTGTTGCCATCAGGAGGGAATAAAGGCTAAAACACAAAACGTCCAAAGAGAATTGCAGCTTATGGCTCCAAATAACCTCCAAATGTTTTTGATTTGATGTTTTTTGAAGTCTCTGGCTACTGGGAAATAGAGCTCTGTTGCTGTGGAAAGTTAGACTGGGACTGCTACTTGAACCACTTGTATTACTGATTTCTAGAGACGAAGGTGGCTCCCAAATTGCTGAAATAAAGTTAGAAAAGTTAATGTCTTGGTTTAGTAGTTTATACTGATGACTTTCTATTGCAGGGGGCAGTAGGATAGCAGCCAGCCTGTGGTAATGTTTAGGTACAAACATTGTTTCTTGAATATTGTAACTAAAACTTTATGAAGAGAATTTTAGGCTGGGCATACAGAAGCCTTTAGCAAAGTATATTTTCAAGCTTTCATAAATCAGGCAAACGCCGATAAATGTTAGGTAAGTAAATATATCTATATTCCAAATACCCGAATGAGCCAAAATCATTCACTGCAATAGGCTAACTTACGAGGTCCTGTTTCTCATAATAATCAATTTCCATTTCCAGCTACTGTAAACAGAAGCAAAAGAGAAGACATACTAATTTTCAAAATGGGTTGCTTACATACATTACTGAGAAACCATTTAGGAAAATAAGATTATAAGCTGTAATAGAAAATAATTGCTTGCATGTTCTTGATGACAAGCAAACACCTCTATTAATTTTTCAGGTTTCTTGGGAAACCTGAAATAGGGGAATACAAGGTAGGAACAAGCATGTTACAAGACTGGTTAGTATCAATGTCTTGTTATCAGTTAGGTATAAGAAATATGTGCCTTTTTTTACAGGTAATCATAGACTCCTTTCAGAACTAGGATGTTTGATAATGGTAAAGTGTGATATTCAGTAAACTTGGCTCAGTTTTTCTTAATTGTCAGAGCAGCTGAATGAACCTGTTCTCAGTATTCTGAAGACCTGAGTTTACAGAAACATGCTTTCAGATTTTTGTGTGGCAGCCAAGTAAAAGAGCTAGAGTGGAGAACAACACTGAATATTCCTTTTTGTAGTCCACCTATAACCTGGAGATTACAGAGTATAGCTGTTGTACAGCAGATGGCATCGTGAGTTCAAGAATAGTGAATGTGCGTTCTTGAAAGACTTGAGATATTTTTAGCATTAATTCCATGCCTGGTAGATGAAAAGTGCTTCTGTGCAGCACTTTCTTATAATTAGTTCAAATATTTGTATTATTTTTTGACATAGTTTTTAATATGTCTTGCCTTTAACAGAAAAAGTAGTTAAACATTTTAAAAACATTATTTTAAGGTATTTTAAAGGTTGTGTAAAGTGTGTCTTTTTAAATATGAGGAATTAGGTATCCAAGGATGAGGCTGTTACAGCAAAACGAAATTGGTATACTCAGCAGTGTGCCTCTACAGGTATTCTCATTTTGAGCCTGTTTATTTTCCTACGGATCACCTGGGATGAATTTGAAGCCTTTCTATTTTAGATTTTTCTGCTGTATTCCACACAGCAAACTGTGTAGAATATGTTATTAAGGCCCATGTTTTCTTAGCTGTTTCCTTGTCACCCTCTAGCAGTTCCATCACCTCTTTTTTTTATTATTTTAAGATGTTTTTTCAGTGTAGTCTTTCTAGCAGCCACACTGTTACAAAGGAATTTTGTTTCTGTCTTAGTTTTTATCCTGTTAAGCTGAAAAAAAATTTTTTTAAAGATTAATACAATAAAGTTAAAATACTTAATACTTTTGAGTTTGTTACACTTGTGTGCATGTCAGTATGCATATATATGTGTGAGATAAAGAGAACTGAATGTTGAAACGTTTCATTTATCTGATTGCATTTTAATGAGATATGATTAAAAACTATAGAAAGAAAAATCACTTTAAGAAGCATCTATTAGTGGAAATGGCAATAAACCCTTAGTTAAAGTACTCTAAAATTATTTCTCATTTCTATAGCATTAGAAATGTAAAAGAAGACCAGGTGAAATGTAGAGATAGCCAGGAAATAAGAGTCTGCCATATGTTATGATTCTGGTACAAGAGAGATAAGTTTTAATATGTTTTTAGATATATTTACTTCAGTTCCTGTCCTGTAACTGCACTGTAAATATAGAATCCAATCAAACCCCTCTTAACAAGATGAAGCACTGTAAGGAAATAAGGAGTCTTCAACAGTGAAAAGTTTTCCTGCATCGGTCATACAAAATGTTTTGTCCAAGAACGCAAATAAAATGAGTAAATTTGTATAGTACTGGATATTGAGGGAAGCCAAGTGCGTCTTATCTTCCTATGGAGAACAGCATACTATAAAGATGGCAGTTGCAAGTATGTTGCCCAAAATAACATGTTGGGAAATGCTGATTGACCAGCTTAGTTTCTTGATGGCGTTTTAGGTCCAGATTTTCTTGTAAAAGAAGCCTTTTTTGAAATAATTTTCTAAACCTGTTTGGCACATATACATGTAATTATTTTCATTGATACAATGGAGGTAACCATGAAAAATGCTGAACTGCAACTATATTTCAAACATCTTGCTGACTAGGACAAACGGTATTTATTCACATATAAGTCCATTTATTAAGATTCTTATTTTCAGCAGTTTATTGTTTGTAGAAGGTGACATGCAATACATTTCAGTCCACTCATTTTTTAATATTTATGTTTGGTGACAATTTTATAGATAGAAACTGTAGTATAATAATTGATTCAGAAGCACATTTTTTCTTTGGAAAAAAAACCCACTGTTTTTATTTGGTACTCTGCCCACTACATTCTTCAAAAAGTACTGTTACATGATGAACTATCAATATAGTAGAATGACACCTTAAAAATGGACTTACCACTTCCCTGTCCTTTTTGGTAGCATAATTCTCAGGGGCTCAGAGGCTTCTCTAAAACTCCCCCTACGAAGTGACATCATAGAAACTTAAGTTTGTAAAGCAATATACATATTCTTCCTTTGTATCTGTGTTCACAAATTAACTTTTTGTCTATTCTTCAACTAATTATTTCATAGAAGTTAATTAAAAGGCAACTGGAGGATCTTGCATTTCAAAAACACCTTTTTGTTGTTAGTGTTTAGTTAGAAACATGATATTTTTTTTTCCTTCTTTTTAGGAGTGTGGCATAATTTTGTTCTTGGTGTTGCAAGTTTCATTGTTCTGTTACTGCTACCAGCCATTCTTTTCCCTTTCTATTACACGGGTGTTGGGGCACTTGTCACTGAGGTCGCAGAGGTAAGAAAAGATCTTTACTGTTTTCGTATTATATGCTTCATAATCTGAAATGTACCTGTGTCTCTTATTATCACAATCAAATTTAGTCAGTGCAGCACTCTACAGAACCTAATATATTGCACTTTTTGTCTGCTTAAAGTTTCCTTCTCAGTCTTATGGTTTTTAGTATTAGTAAATGTGGGAACAAGGCATGAATAATTACAGACTAATCAGTGTACTACAAAACTATTTAGATATTTGAGACGAGTTTGCAGGCTTATTTCTGCTGGTTTTTTTAACTTCTTTTCAATATTGGCACCAAGTAAATCTACTGGAAACTGCATTATCATTCTAGTTATTGCTATCTGGTTTTAATGTTAAAGATTATTTTGAGCCCATTTCCTTGCTTGTTTGGTCAGCTGGAAGCAAAGTAGAGATAGACTGCTGAGTTTCTGGAAAGGACTGGGGTTTTTTTCTGACTTAATCAAATACAGCACAGTTGTAGAGCTGAAAGGAGCTGTAAGGATTCAGTCTTTCTTGGATCTAAAAGTGAACTGATATAACTCAGGAGGAAAGTGACATTTATTATGCTTCATACCTTCAAAAGTATAGGTACACCCTGCTATGTTGAAAGATTCAGGGTATGAATTTTAGCTTCTTGAACTTAAAATGGTAGGAAAACCCACAACACATTAATTTGTATGAAAATAAGCACTCAAATTTGAAGACGTTCCCTGGAGCACTTCAAGACTTGCCTTTTTCTTTTCTTTTTCTTTGCACTAAATAAGTTGTTATTTGTAGAGGATGTTGGTTTTGTAATGCTCTATCATAAGTTGAAATAATCAGTTCCAGTGGAGCCTGAGATTTTCTGTTTCTCTGGAAAGTGTCTTAACCTAAAGATTTCATGGCTGTTCAGCAGAACTGTAAACAAATCCATGTAGTTTTAACTATAACAACATGAGTGACTTCACTGTTTCTTCTCAGGATTCTCCTGCCAATGGACCAAGAGGTCTTTTTGTGGGAGACCTTGTCACTAACCTACAAGACTGCCCAGTCTATAGTGTGGAAGACTGGAATTCCTGTCTGGAAGACATTTCAGAGAAGTCACAGGTCGGCTACTGTATAAGTGCAGCCACCCTACAGCAATTAAGCTTTCCAGCTAGAGGTATGGCTTTCAGTGATCTCTTCATTATTTTATATTTTAATTTTATCATGTCTTAAAGGCTATTTTGGATTTAGGATTTGTTGGTGGGGTCAGAGTTCTCATAGGTCAAGCCTGCTCTCCTGTCTTAAGCAGTGACCAATATGCCATTCATTTTTGTGAAATCTGAAAGTAAGGAAGAGGTAGATAGAAGATTGGAAGACCAGCAAAATTCTTCTGTAGTCCTATACAAATATCCTGTATGATCTGAGTAATGAAATTTGCCTCCTCAGGATATTGCATAGCATGGTTAGTAGCAGTAATACAATTATCTCCTCTATTTTTAGTTCAGTTATATGGATCAACTCACTGGTCTTCTGCAGTTGTAAATTCCACACATCACCTCACTGCTTTGATCAGCGTGACGTTACAAATTGTATGGCTGAACTCAATGATGTGCATTATTATGGCCACTTCTGATGTGTCTCGCTATATGGGTTTTATGTTTCATTTGCTTCTTCAGCCTCACAGTGTCATTACTCAGAAACTAAGTTTTGTCAGAATTGCACATATTGCTTCTAGAAGTCAGTCCATTTCCTTCTGTTTTCATTTATACATTAGAGCGCTTGTTGCTGTAACAGCTTATCCCTGAGAAACACAAAAATATGAACTGAACTAAACTAGAACAATAAACAAAAATTAAGTAGAACAAAAAAGAACAGTCAAGTTAAATTGGCTGAATGTCTTGTCACATGCCCTAAAGCTCTCTAGAGTTTGTTTCATGCAAGCATCCATGGAAACTGAATTCCAAAGGTAAGCGGCTGCCACTGAGCAAAACCTGTAGGATGCTATTCAGAGCTTTAAAATTGTCACTGCATTTTACCATCATACTGGAAGCTACCAGGAGGTCAGGCAGCTTGACTTCCCATGTTTCTTGATGCATTATCGTTCTCTTGTGAGACTGAAAAGGTAATCTATTTATTTTTTAGTGTGTAAGGAAAGTAATCTTACAGCTGGACCTAAGATAAATATTTAAACTGGAAATTAGAAGAGTATGGGTAAGATCATGCTTTTAGAGACCTAACAGTTTGGATTATCCCTCTGAAGAGGAAGGTGACTTTGGCCCAAGCTTTCAGCTGCGCAGGGATGGCAAGTAAGAATCAATTCTTAGATAATGTAGTTATATATGCTTAGATTCTGCTGTTCTCTGAACAGAGCCATCGATAATAAAACTGCGTATTCTGCAACTGAACCAGTCCTATTTAGATTGAAATACTAGAGACTTAATACCAGAGACTTAATAGTGCTTGCAAGCTTGGTCACTGTATTGTGTTAGCAGCCCATTGTCCCACTGCTGCATTCTAATCAGACCAGTCTGTCTGCATTTTCAGAGCCATAAGCCTCCAGCAGTGAGAAATATTCCTCTGAAATTAAATGAACTCTGTTTGCTCTCTAGCAGCTGTCATTTGTCAAAATCTTGACAGTTCACAACTTGACATAAATACAGAATATCAATAAAAATGCATCTAGCAAATGGACCCTATCTACTTGACCATAAAACAAATGGAGAGTAAACTATTTGAGTATGAAGTCAGACAGAAAACAGTGCCCCAAGGACCTTCTTGAAATTAAAAAAAAAAAAAGTATTTTCAATGTAGTTTATAAGGAAACTAATTTCATGGTCGTTCACTATTCAAAACTATATGTGATAGCTTAGCCTCAGGGTACTTGAAAAAATGATTTTACGGTACAGTGCTTGCACCTGTAAGCCCCAGGTATAAAGCTCCATGTTAGTGGACTACAGGTTATGCAGTGATAAATCAGCAACGAGTATTGCAGGCTTGATCTCCCTAAGGAAGGTACTGCAGTGTTGCTGTGACACAGATTCTTATAGTGACTATTCTTTTGCATTTTTTTAAAGCTGTTGTTGCAGAGTAAGTTAGGTTTAATTCACTTAAAGAACATCTGTACAAAGATTCTGTACCAGACTAGTTAAATCACAGTTTAAAATATCATTTATTCACCGCTACAGCCTTCAAGGCTTGGAAAGCTTTCAAAACCTGAATACTTGCAAAGACTTTCACATATTTAAGAGGACATTTTGAGTGTTGGTCATTTCTATAGCCAGCCAGTGAAACAAGTACAGTAGCAGGTAACAATTTTCTATGCCAAACCTTAACGCAAGCTGGGGGCAATGGATAAAAGTATTTTGTTACTTGCAATGCTCAGAACATTGCAGTGGTAGACCCCCAGTATCTCAAGGAGATTTAGTAAGATGAAAAAATCAGTATGTGACATGATGGAAATCAGGTGATGTTTGCACATATAAGCAGTGAAGCTTATTTTCAGTTGTGACTGAACTACAGCTAGGCTCTGTGAATGACTATAATTCCTGAAGGCTGCAGAATGATTTGACTTTATTCAGAGACTAATTGCTTTTCAGGAAGTTACTATAATATTGATTATTTGTTCTATGCCTGTGTTCTTTAGTCTACAGAAGACTGGATGGCACAGTTGAGTGTTGCAGTAACAACAGCCTCACAGATATTTGCTTTTCATATAGCAATAAATTGGACAGCCACCTGGTAAGTTACTTAAACTGCTAATTCTGTTTGGTAAATCTGAAATTATTTAAATTAAATTAGTAATATTTACCACCAATTATGCAGCATATTCAAGTGCTTAAGAACACCTACAGTTTGTAATAAAGGTTATGTGAATGTTGTTCTCCCTATTTACAGCTAAAAAACCCAAAATATTACTTATGGTTTTTCCCATGATTAATCAGGGAGTCTCTGGAAGAACCAGAAAAGATCTTATACCCCTCATTCCTTTAGGCAGAGACATCTCCCCCATTTTCACCACTGGGTCACATATTAGCAAGAAAAAACAGCTTTTGAGAACAAGGTGAAAGTGTTTATTTTGGTGCTTCAGTCTTTAAAGGTACTGAGCACTACAGGCAAAACACAGCACTACACTATCATCTGTTCAGTTATTTTGTCTGAAGCCAGCAGTGCTGCTCACAGGTTAAACTAAAAATGTGCAAGAGAAGGTCCTAGAGATCGCCCAGTTTCTCAAAATCAGGGCCTCTCTTTGATTCCTTTTTTACTATGTTGATTTTCTTGTAACATCTGGAAATGTGAAGTTTCTCAGTAGGTTTTTGACTTATTCTCTTCAAGATATGGAAATGTTTGTTAAAATGGGTGATCCATATTGGATCCATATTCCATATGGAATACTTCTAACAGTTCTCTTTACAAGAAAAAGAGCACAAGTACCAACTGTGTTAACTTTTCTACACATACCAGTTTGTTATTGTTCTGACCTCTAGTGTCAAATACCTAAAGAACTGGAAATAATTCTTTTCTTACATCTGCTATGTTTACAGTTTCTGTGATGGTAAACTTCCCACTCCAGGGTGATTTTGTGGTATTTAGCCACTAAGAATTGAACACAGACCAGCAGTTCATTTGAAAGATGACAGTGGCTGGTAACATCCTGGAGTTCTGCAAGATTTGATAAATCACTACCCCACTGAGCTTTGACATTCTTAAGCTCATAGCTGCTACTTAGGAACAGAGAAGAAATAAAAGCATTCATAAGCCTGTGACCTTCAAGTGTCCTTAGATTGGCTGTGAGTTTCTGAACAATTATTTTAAATAGTCCTTGCAGTGCTGTGCAGCACTATTTGAAAGTGTGTCCTCTCCCCCTCATTAGAATTGAAAGAGCTTGCATTGAGTTTAATGGAGAATGTCTGACAGTCATGCATCTACGGGGACTGTAACTATCAGGCTAAGAAGCAAGAAAATCCCTTTTCTAGGGGCTTTTGTCTTCCGAAGGCAAACGGTAGATGAAGAACTTTCCTTGCTTGTATTTAAGAACAAAATGAAAATCATCACTGAGCTTTTACGAGAGACACGAAGGGGAAAAACAATTTCCTGTTGCATTCTGCTGTACTCTTTTTGGCCTGCGGGGAGCAAGAAAGATCTAGTATTTCAGACTGCTGAGTGAAAGAGTGTTATAGGTAGGACTTGGGACACAGCACTGCATTAAGTCCTGTGTTATCTTAGTTGAGAATGGTTTCTCAGTGATCACACAGCCAGTAGGTTTTTTGGTTTGTTTGCTGAACATAGTTTTGTTCAGTCAAATGAGGTTTTAGGTAATGAAGACTAAACATTCTAACTAAACATAAACAGGTAAGTCAGTACTAATATGTTGATGCAGGCTCTGTTCATTAGAAATCACTGACTTATGTTTAGATGCCTTGATTTCTTTTGTTCATGTGTGTACCTTTTTAAAAATAGCTTTTAATTTGGTACATGTGCACACTTGTGTCTTCCACATTCCACCAAAATGCAATGACACGTTGAATATATATTAGCTAGAGGTTCTGCAGGATTTGACAAAAAAAAAAACCCCAGTACATCAGATTTCAGCTGTTCGTGGGCTGGTAGTATATCAGTGAAGCACTTCCTTTGCTTTAAAAAGGAATATATAGTACCTTTTTTTCTGATCTGTGGGGAAATACCTTTACATTTTATAATAATTTTAAATGCCCTTTGCAGTATGCCTGTCTGCCAGCACGAAAAGTTATTGAGGCCAGCAAAGTTTGTCGAACCAACATGGACTGCCAGAAGGACTCTGTTCCAAGCTTTTGTGTGACTCCTTCTTTAGAGAACCAAACAAGACTAATCAGGGTAAAACATCCACCTCATATTGACATGCTGTATGTAGGACACCCCATGCATCTTCAGTACACAGGTTGGTATTATTTATTAAAACAGTTTAACAAAAAAAGATTCCTAATATGGCTTACTTTGCCTGGCTGCTTGAACGAGGTCTTGGAGTGCTTGTCAGTTAACTTGTTTAATGCAGAATCCATTTCTTGTTACAGCCAGTGGAGAGACATGGACTGCTCAGGCCTAAAATGAAATGTGCACAGTGCAATGAGTTACAAAGGTAATAGAAACCATATGTGATATGAGATAGTTGGTTTTTTCAGAAAAGTATTAAAGGGCTATTTCTATAACAGATCTCACTCAGGTTAGTCATGGGAACCAGGCACCTGCATTTTACTAACACATAAACTTCTCAAAATGCTATCATAAAATCTCTAGGGCATCTTGGCTCTAACACCTTGCCTGGAATAGTAGCATGACTGCTTAAATCATACCTAATATCCAAGTATCTATGACAGATTCCCATGACTGCTGAGCCACAAGCACAATTACAACATAGTTTTTTCCTGACTTTTTTTTATTTGAGTGCCCTAAAACAAATAACATGCAACAGCTTAGTTCCTTACTTTGAAATGGACTATGGCTCTCCTTTAGGCAAGCTTATATGCTTCAGCCAAATATACAAGTAAAAAGTAATTCTACTCTTGCAGCAAGTATGGAAAGAATGAACAAATTCATCTACATTCTTACTTAGTAGCTTGAGTGGCATGCTGAAAATTAGCTTTGGATGGCCTCAAAAATTAGGAAGTGTTAAACTGCTGTCCCTTCCTGTGACAAACTTGTCTGTAAGTTGGCTTATACCTCACAGGGGGTGATTCTACTTCAGACATCTTGAAGTACCTCCTCAGCCAAGCCATTGTACTTTTCTGAATAACCGCTGGAATTAGGTGCAAAAGAGCTTTAGAAACAGTAATGGAATCTGGTAGTGTAAATCCATTAGCATTCTGGCATAAACACATTTTTAGTTAATCTGTTAGTCTTTATCTTTCTGTACTGGTCAAATTTTAATAATGCATGACACATTCTTTATTTCTACTTGTTTACAGTATACCCTCATTTAAGCCCAAAATATGATCACTTCACTTGTTATTTCTGCCCTTTTACCATTTAGGAGGAAAAATGTTGTTCACCTGTGTGATATCAATACACAATTCTGTATTTGATGACATCTATTCCAAATGCAGCAACAAATTTTAAGAATAGAGCATGATAATTATTTTAAGTTCCCTTTCTTCATCTCTAATAATACAAATTGTAGGTACTGTAGAACAATTGATATTGTTCTCTTTCCCAATATGTTGGAACAATGGAGTTTTAGTCAGTGCTTCCTACTGAACGGTAATTCTGCAGAACAATCAGAACCTGTCAGTCTTTCAGAAGACAGAAAAGAATGTTATTGCATCTAAAGAGGTAGTTCTAGTTTAAGAAGTTACTGCATGAAAATAAAATTTACAGGAATATAATACTTAAGTGATATACTGAACCCAGAGAGTTGCCCATTGAATGTGCTAATTTGAAAGCTAAAAACTTGACTTTATTACAAACTTTGCTGCAAATGCAAACTATTCTCCCCTCGGAAAAACTAAGAGCTAAAAATTATAGGATCCTGGCTTGGGCAGCAGGTATTCTACTGTATCATTGTAGAGTTCCATGTTTTCCAATGAAACAACATGTAAATATTTTAGACTTAACTTTGCACTGTACAATACTGACTTGAGGCCAACAGGTTTGATTTTTTTTCCAAATGTGACCAATCAGAATGTGGTAACCATTTTTTTACAGTTAAGAAAGGGAAATAATTTCTTCTACTTTTGAAATAGGCATACCTTTTAGTGAAATGCCTTATTCTTTACTGTGATCTTTCTGCTTGCAGGAACATTACTTTTTAGAGTAGTGCCACATTTAGCACACAACCTGATATAGGAGTTGTACTAGTGTGTACTATAGCCTTACTTTCTCTAGTAATGTCACTAAAGAAACATTTGAATAACATTCTAAGATTATGCATGTATTATTTTCAATTTAGGCTTGTATTGTTGTCATGATAGTCCTGATTTATGGAGAAGCAGTAATTATTTCACCCTTCATTTGAAGCTATTTTTTAAAATTTATGTCCATATTCACAAGAAAAAGGCTATACAGACTACTTCTATAAAATGCTTATATTTCCTGAAAGTAAAATATTCTAGCAAAAAAATATTTTTTGTTATTCCGACTCTGTATATTGCTCTTGTTTTCAGTATAAAAAACCCTGTAAAGAATCTTACTCCTAAATGAATTTACAGTGCTGGAGATTTGGCCAAAACTAAACTGGAAGGAATGATTAGAAATGCATGTTGTTTAGGATGAACACATTGATTAATGCTTTTATTTAGCATTCTCTCTGTAAAAAGTATCTAGTGTCAACCAATATGAAGTCATACTGTAGGTTTAATTCATGTGCTATTTCCCAAGACTTTTAGCTTTTCTTATTGCAGGCCAGTTATGCTCTGGAGGCTCTCCCTATGTTGGATAGATGATGTGTAAGGTTGTAAGGTTGAAATGGAGGGCTCTTTCATTATTGCCATTCAACTTTGCAGTCTTTCTTCTTTACTTTGTGTGCGGTTTTTTTATTCCTTCCTGTCGTTTCTGGTATTGCAAAATCTTGGCTTCCTTCTGTGGCCCTTGTTCGTTGGGAAGAATTTGGTGACTAACATTCACATTTGGAATTCACACTGCTTGAGAGAAGATTGTACTCCTGAATGTTTCTCAATCTTCATTGCACATCAGGGATCAAAAACTACAAGATTTCCTTCATGAAAAGAAGATGGAACTTACCAAACCCACTTCCTAGATTTGGGGAGTTTTTGGGGCAACAATAGTCATTATCCCTGATTGATGTCTATCTGTTAAAGTCTAGTTTCTCAGTATTTCCATGGTTGTTTCCTCCTATTGCTGAGGATGATCCTTCTTTGCTTTAAACCCATATTTAACAGGTTACAGGTATAGTTCTTCTGGAGACCACACAGAAAAATCTCATCCTATACTGTCTCTTTCCTCCACAGCATATATGCCCTTTTCCCCATGAAGAGGTTTTGAAAAGTTTTTTGGTAAACCTAGTCTCCAAATCACTTCTAATTAAAATTGTGTGCGTTGTGCATTCTTCTCAATATTTGCCAACACTATCTAGCATTAGCCAACAAAAGAAATATTAATTCCAGGTCAAAGAATTGTTTAATTAGAGTGGGAAAACAATGACTGTTTTCTCTCACCCCGCCTCATTGCTTTTCATCTCTTCCCAGCAGTGTCTTTTGAAGACAAGCCTGGAGAACATAATTTCTGTAATTCTTTGCTTTTTCCTCGAAGGACAGATTTGCCTGCTTCCATTAGGTTTGATCCATTACAACCACTAAATTCATTGCCTCGTATTACAGTGTCTAGAGCTCAGTCCAGCAACTTCCTGAAGAGTTTCTTTGTGTCTTGAAGATTGCTTCAGCAGCAAGGTTTGGAGTTTAGATCCATGTCTACTGGCTGTCAGGGACAGTTGTCAGAAAGAGGGAATGACGTTAGTGGTTCATTCTGAATGTAGGCACAACTTCAAGTTCAGGATGGTGACTTCTTAGTGGCCATTAGGTGTTTGTCAAGAGGCAGTCAAGCTTTGAAATTACACTATATTGAAGCGTGTCTTTTGAAACCTTTGAATACATTGGGTGCCTCAGCCATTTTACTATTTTGGCTTATGAACAAGAGCTCTGATCAGATGTTCTGATACCAGCCTTCAGCTTGATGAGTTGTTTGCTTTGGATATCACTTGACTTGGATGCCTCTGACTTTCCAAGCTGGGTGGTGTCCAAGATTTGATTTCTGTCTGTTAATGTTCTTCACTCAGTAGTCCAACGGACTTATTTATTTTCTCCCAGTTCACTAAATCAAAGATCTTTCTTAAGCTAAGGTAAGAGAGAACATGATTTTCCAACTGTCTTGGCACAGCTGTGGCAGTTTTGCTATTGGAAAGTTTTCTGCTTGTTGCCACATCAAACCCATTCCTTCTCTGGGACTCCTTGCTATCCAGATCTCTCCATCTCATGGTAATGCTTTCTGGTTGTACTAATTATCCCTCCTGACTCATCAAGAACAGAAGAAAACAGAAGAAGAAAATGTGTTTATGTGACTGAGTGGACCAGTGGACCTTTGGAATTTCTTTCCTCTTATATTTGTTCCGGTGTCCTTGAATTGTTTATTGAACCTGAAGAAATCTGATCTCACTCTTAACTAAGATATACTTAGCAGCACTTCTGGTATGTTATGTACAAGTGCCGAGGTTTCCAGTGTTCTCTTAGCCTGTGGTTTATAGAATTTCTCTAAGGGTGGGTTAAATTGTTCCTTTCCCAAGGGGTATGAGTGGGATTTGAACTCCTGCTTTCACCTGCCTCTGTGGATATGGTATTTCTTCTGGCTATAACTTTTTCCCAAGTTGGTAGGGAAAATTCAGGCCATTGTGGCTGTCCTCAACTTATGTCCAGAGTTGTTCTTTAGGGACAGAGTGACTATTATCTTAAGGTGGTTTTCTATTTCTGCCTTAATTTACCTAAACCTCTTCCTTCTGGCGATAAGACTTCACTATGCTATGAGTGGAGCATTCTGGTAGGAAAGGTGTCTCCCAGCTGTCAGAGAACTAAGGCTTTCAAATGGTCCCTGAGACTGCTCTTTACTTCAAAAGACTGCATCAAGACTTTTTATGAGACAACCCAGATGGAACATCCTGTCCTAACAGAGTGCACTCTGAGAGGTCTCAAGGTAACTCAGTTTTCTTTGAGGAGTCTCTCATAAACATTTAACATGCAGTCAGCTGAGGCTTCTTGTGCACCTTCAAAGAAGTTACAGTACTAAAGAAGTGTTTCAAGGTTGTGTGGTACTTGACACTTGAAAATTTCCGGTCACTGATTATATGAAGGATGCTGTGTCCCACCTCCCAGGTTTTTAAGTTGCACTCTTACATCTTAGAATCATCAGAAAACGGGAAAAAAAGCTACTTAAGTACTGGCTAACGTGTTAAGATGTGTAATGCACCCACACATCATCTCCTAGCCTTTGCTTTCTCAGAGGGACTCTAGAACTCTGCTCCCTATCAGCCCCGTTCCTATACCCCCTGAGGATGGGGGTATCTTCTTCAGGTACTGAGAGAAAAGAATTTTCTGGCCTTGAGAGGAAGTACCCACACATGTGCACCCACAGTGTAAATGTGTACATGTGGCCTGCATATGCTGAAAAAGTCTGGTATCTATAATTTCTTTTTATATATTTTTCTTTGAAAAGGACTTAAATTACACAATGTGGTCTTTATGACTACAGATGTCCAGTTGCCTCTGAAAATATATATCTTAGATCTACTTTTACTGAAATCATGCTAATTACATTTTGTGGAGTGACTTTACTATGATAGTGACCATGTTTAAGAAAGATTTAATGGCTTCACTCTTAAAAACAAAGACCAAGCGCAGCTGTATTTAGATTGGTTATTCATTCTTGAAGAAATATCATTTCAGATCTTATTTTTCTGCAAAATTATAATGTGAAATTCATAATGTTATGATCATGGAATGACTGTTCATGTGTTGTGTATCTTTGTATTTTCATTTCAGTAAGTCTCAGCAGTTTTGTACCACGACAAAACTTTCTAAGCATCGATGTGCCTGTGGTGATAGAGACGTTTTGCAAGTATCCTTTGAAGTCTGCTTGTTCTTTTAAGGCAAGAAGGGAAGTGTTTAGAAGTTGGTGACCCAGCAAAATTTCAGTTGGATATCGTTTTAGACAGGATGCTCTGAAACATTTCTGTAGCATTTTAACATCTTTATCCCATCTCTGCATTGATTATTGTCCATGCGCCAAGCTCAAAATGAGATCTCTCACTTTATTGTGCTTAGCATGATATTTTTGGTCAGTGCTTTTTTAACTCTTTCTCGAGGGTGAGTCTTAACAGCTCTAATGAGAAAGTCAAAGTAATCCTGAATTTACAGCAGGACAAAAGAGATGTTATTGCTAGCTTTGTTATGTCAGAGTTTTATAATTTTTGAGTCATGATACTGAACTAAATAACAGGGTATGGTTTTTGGGTTGTTTTTCTTTTCCTTCAACAGAAAAGAAAACAGCCTATTCAAAAAGTAGGATTATAATTCAGGTAAAACATGCTTATTAATGAAGGGCATTATATGTATACATATACATAAAGGTTATTAGGCTTGAATATGGCTAATCTAAGAACCCTTAGCCTTAGAAACTGTAAAGTTTATGTGTGGTTATAGAATAATTAAACAGCATAGTTCAGATTTGTCCATAAAACTGAAGATGCTACATAAGCTTCCCTTTTCTGGGAACACACCCAGGTTCACACTGACCCAGCTGCTCTCTGAGCCATATGTCTTATTGTCCAGCCATTGTATGATGGAGGTAGGTATGAATGTTAGCAAGCCTTTACCAACAATAAAAATTATCTACCTTTGCCTCATTCTCCATGCACCTGCACATACAGAAATCCACTGAACTTTTCTGGCTAACAGATAAGTAGGAGAGAGAGGCCAGATTTCCAATTATATTCTAGCCATTTACTTATTCTGGAGACGTAGTGTTTTTGGAAAATATTCCCAATCATTATTTCATACTTAGGTCATAGGTCTAGAATACCTTCCTACTTCAGGCATGGTGTCAGAGCTATAACCTTGCTCCAAAACCGCACAAAGCAAGGGAGGAAGATGGGCAGCATTAAGTGAGGTTTTGCTGTCTCCTGCTTTCATCTGAGTTGTGAAGAGTGCAGGTTGTTTAAGTACTGCATTAAAAAAATGGATCTATAAAGGCAATTCTCTGAGTTTGTACATTATGGTGTAAAAATCATTGAACTCATAATTTCCATGAAACAGAGTGGTAGCATACTAGAAATAAAAAATATGTTTTGTATTATTTTATATTTTTTAAATTATATTGGATATTATTACTGGACCTTAATTAATGTCACCCAGGTATCTAATTTCACTGTCAGGAGCACTGGCAGTTATCAATGCTGTACCCTGCTTCGCTTTGGATGGTCAGTGGATATTAAATTCATTTCTGGAAGCTACTCTGAGCCCCCTGGTTGTAGAAAAACAAAGCAGAGAACTTGTTGGCTTTTTAATTTTGCTTGCTGGTAGTGCACTGTTGGCTGCCAATGTTGCACTGGGACTTTGGATGGTGACAGCACGATAGAACATTGGATACTCTTTCATCAGTTCTCAAAGTACACAGAAATAATGAATCCATTGCCTTTTAAAACTTGTTCGGTACTCAGATTGAAGTAATTCCCTTAAAATGACACTGAAAGAGCAATCACTGGTGGATGCTGTTTTAATTTAAATATGTACAACGTTGCGCTTGTGGTCATGAGAGAACTAACAGAAAGAAGTAGGAACCATTGCATATACTCTTTATGCACTGTACTAATTTTGGAGAAATTACATTGTAAAGTTTCACATGAAAAAGCCTAAGACTTCATTAATTTAGATCTCAAGGGAATTATTTGGCGTCAAACATTTGTAAAGTGGGAGAACAAAAACACTTAGGTTTTATTTTATAATTTGGGTAATTGTCCAAAAATCTTGTGTGGGTTTTGATAATTTCTCAGTCTCATGAACGTCTTGGTTTTGTTTTTTTAATCTGTTGTTCTACCAAAATGGACTCTTAAGAAGCCCTAAACTCTGATCTCAAAATGGTGAAAAGCTAAGAAAATTATTACCATATGTTAATGAGGAGAGAGAGGCCATGTGGGTTAGTATATTTCCCTTCAACTGGCCAAAATGGACTGGAAGCATGTTGTCCTCAGGATGTATATGAGAAGTGCCAATGTCTGTTAAGAATGAGGCGTGTGGGAGGATAACAAAGCCCACATGTCTGTGTTTCTTACCCATTCAGTTGTATATTATCATACACAGCTGAAGATTTGTTAAAGGCAATATTTGTCAGCAATAGCCACTAGATGACTGAAACTTAGTTTCTGAGAGCTGAGGTATGTTGTGCACAATACAAGTGATAAGTAATGTTTGTGTTGTTTTACTCAGAAAATAGAACGTGTTACACCTGTTTACAGTTAAAAGTGAAACCTGTTGTTTTTATGGTGTCTGTCTTCTGATGCTATGCATGTAATATGTACAGTAACTCACTGATGGGTTTCTGTCTTTCAAAGGGGTGTTTCCCTTTGCCAGGATTCGTTCTGTTCAAAGATAGCTAACAAAGATGTTTAACTGAAGCAGGTCTTGGATCAGAATTCTTAGAGGAAGAATATGATTGTGAATTGAGCTAATTAAACATTTGGCTTTGCTTTCTGAAATGAATACAGACCATATCCTTGTTCTTAAAAGAACAGTGGAAGAACAGCCGGTGTTTTGCTGACTGAAGCATGCCTGACATACTTTGAAGCTCTTTAAGTCTGTAATATTTTGTACCTAATAGGACTATATATTGACTGTCATACCCTCCTGTGATATATTGCCTGGTTTATATCAGTCAGGTTCATTCAGCTGCTAGCCTCAATATAGACTGGTATTTAAAAAAAAAAAAAAAAATGGCTCTAGTTTGGGAGTCTAAGTATTTGAGATAGGGATCTTTTGAAAAATGCCCTACAACTCCTGTCCCATAGGAGCTGCTGCAGCTCAGAGTTCCTTTACAGAAATGGCCTTTCCCTCAGACACTAAAGTGGAAGCTAAGCTCACAGTATGGGCCTGCAGGGAGTACTGAAGCATTCGAGGCCGGCCAACATAGATTCTCTTGGCACTAGAGGTAAAAGCCTGGGTAATTTTAAAAGCACCAGTTCCTGGTGCTACTGTGTGGATTCGTAACTATCATGTTTGCGTTTGTCCACTGATGTGTTACTTTATTTTTGCACAGTAGCCTTCACGCTTAGTTAAGATATATTCTTGTCTTACGAAGATGCAAGCAGAAAGGAGAGAGCACATTTGTTTATTTGTTGTTGTGTTAGTTTACTTACCTCCCCAGTGCTGTCACGGGCTGGGTGGGCCTCTTGAAGTTCACCTCTGTGGGGTGACAGCCCGTGCCTCTCATTTCAGTCATTTCAACTCCAGCACGTCGGCACAGATCCCGGTAAGAAAGAGTAAATCCTCTGGTCAATCCAGAGCGAGTCGGTCCCTTTGGGGACTATTAAAAGTCACACAGAGTGCAAAAAAGGAAAAACAAACTATCAGAAAATGCCAGCAGGCTGCCTCTTCTTCTGGAGACACCCTGAAAGTCTTAACTCTTCATCACTCCTGGAAAGGTGTAGAGGTTTGAGGGCAGCAGTTGTGATGGGCCACTCTGCCATCTCTCCGTGGACAGGAGGGACGGGAGCAGCCTGGTTCTTGCACAAAGCCTGGCTTTGAAGCTGTGCTCCAGAAGCCTAATCACTCATCTAAGTGGCTGCTCACTAATCTGAGCTCTGCCTTTCAGTGGCTCTGTGCCACTCTCCTCTGTCTCCCTGCATCTTGTCCTATCTACAGTGCGCAACACTCACTTGCATTTAAGAGTATTAATGCAATGTAGTAAGGCAGGATATTTACTTTTCAAAGCTGATACTATTTATGTACCAGAGTTGCAGTGCTGTCTTATTATCTAAAGCAACAACAAATTCATCTATGGTGATTTCATAAGTATTCTGTGAAAAACATGTCAAGTTTGATACTTTATATATTCATGTTGACTACAGCTGCTTGGGACAATCTTTTAGCATAGTGCCTGTCCTGGAGATGTAGGCAAAAGATTTACAAAAACAAAGTTTCTGACTTAACATATACAAGTTACATCTGTTATAATGAGGCTGGCAGGTTGTTCCTGTTTATTTAATGTGCTACCAAAACATGATGTTTTACCAAAGGAAACTAATTCCAGTTTATTTTACTTCACACAGTCACTGAAATCCACAGTTCTACTAAGTAGAACTTCAGTCTGTGTTTGACCTCATAATCAAAAAGAGGGTGGAGAAGACATCAGTCATGATTTTAGCAGAACAGACATACTAGTATGCTGTAAGGACCCTGGTTATCTTTTATAGGAGAAATAGTACTCAAAGTGTTTAAAAATAATTCGTGGGTCCATTTCTTTGTGTGCTGGAATTCTACTGAATAAGAGTCCAATTTAGGTGTGGACAGGTGCTTTGAATCAAAGACTTCAAGCAAACTGGGTATGAATAATGACCCAGCACATCTTAGATTACCTGTGGACAAAGATAGTAGTTAAGTTGGACCACTCTCTGAAGAAAATGTTCTTCAGTGGATCCATTTCATTCTCCTATAATCCTAACATAAGCTAGTACAATAGATACAGTTATTGGGAGGAGTTTTGCTGGGGTTTTGTTTGTTTATTTAGCAAGAGAGAACACAGAAGGACCAAGAACGTTTATTGTGTGCTGGAATTTTACTCTGGACTATTTGCGATGTTTCTTCTATTTCTGTTTTGTAAAAATTGAAAGGAAGTCTTTCCTTAAAATGAAATCTTTCTACTTCTCATTCTAACTACCCCCTCAGAATGTAACATATTCTTTAATACAGAATCCATCAATATAATTTTAGGGCATATTAAGTGGAGTATAAAACAGAACACTCTTAAAAGATTGGGTGGATACTACTATTTATGTATATACTATGCATTTGAAATCTGTATCAGATGGAAAAAGTAATGTCTAACATTGGGAACTGTTATATGTAGCTTTTACTTGAAAACTGCCAGAAGAATTCTGTAATTCTAACCATTGTTCTGCGTTGTTTTTTATAAGATTTTTTCTATATCAGCCAATAATTCCATAGCATGTCCTGATAATCCATGATACAATGTGAAAGTGGGTAACTTCTTAGCATGTGAGAAGTTACATGCCGTTTGCTAACTTAGGAAAAAAAAAGCAGCTTGCTTCTGTACAAGTTAAATGAAAGAGACTTCACAAGAAAAAGACAAACTTGCAGATACCAAATTTATGACCCACAGTGGAAAATCTCTTAATTCATCCTTTTTATTTAGAACAAGACAAGCAACTGTATGGGCAGTTATATTTTTCAGTCACGATGATTCTGGGTTTGTGTATATGTGTATGTATACATGCATATAACAAGGTACATACACAGCCACAGTCTGTGTTGCTGCTTTTTTAGGGATAACTTAACGGAAGTCCTCCATTTTCTGCAATGAAGGCTCTTGTTTTCCCTTTTCTTTCTCTCTATGAATTCCATGGCTTTGTCTGGATTTTAAAATTGCAGCTATGTTTTTCTCCCTTAACTGATCTAACTCTTCTTTATTAACAGAAGACAAGTGATGGATGTAATGTAACCACAGCTGCATGAGTTTTGCTCAGCTGATGTTTAAAATGTGTTTCTTGCTTTCTGTGAGGCCTCAGCTACAAGCTTGGTAAACACAGATTTTTCAGGGCAACTAAAAGAAGCCAACCTTAGAATCCATCACTCTCTAAATGCTGCTATTTCTGCTGTTCTGAATGATAACTGGGGTGAGAGAGACTGTCTAGATTATACTGAAGAAATAATGTTTTCAGGACAGAGCTTTCTGTGGCAGTCAGGATGGTTTAGAACACCAGCAATCCACGTTTTCTAATAGGTTTCCTACACATTTTACATGATGGCAAAGGGTGACCTGTAGCAATTAAGTTTTTAAATAAATTCTGTATGGCTTCTGTCTGAAAGATGTGAATTTGGATCTGGATATAATTTATGACAGATGAAGAAGGTTTATAAAGAATTATGTTGCCTAGTCTGTGTTTAATTATTTTTAAATGACGTGCGTTAAACTCTAGAAATAAGTAGTTATTTGTAAAATATGCATTCTCCACACCTGCATTCAGAGCAGTTCCCACAACCAGTCTTGCCTCAGCTTTGATCTTGTAACCTTGTGAGTAAGGAAACAAGGAATCTAACTCAGGTAAGATCCAATGTTAGCAGTTATTTTATATCCTTTTTTATCCTGAACTTCATGTAACACTATACATAGATTACTTATTTAACGTGGCTGAGTTATCTGGGGGACATATCCTGTATTAATGCAGCATTTGGGAAGCGTTGTACTAGGGACTGCCAGAAAATGGCTCTCTCTTGTTCCTTGGACTTGCCCACTACGATCATGTGAAGAGCAGACGGCAACGACTAAGGGCAGCGAAGAACCTCAGTTTATGGCAGCTTTATGAAACCTTCACACTGCTCACCCAGCGTGAAAGGACAGGAACAAAGAGCAGGATATGACACTGCAATTCCATTCATTCCGTTTACATCAGCATGAAACGTGAAAAGAACTTGTAATTAACATTTCAGAGCACGCAGATATATTTTCCAGTCCTTCACTGAATCATTCAGTGACTGGTGATCAAACTTTTTGGTGTGTTGGTTTTTTTTAACACTTTGTCATTCCATGTGCTGAATAAGTGGCATGGGTAGTTGTAACATATTTAGTAGAATGGGTATTTCTCACCTCTAGGTGTTCATCTTGAGGGTTGGTTTTTGCACCCTCATAGCGTAACTGACCGTCACTTCATCCTAATTTGAAAGTTTGGAGGCTATTTCCAAGCCGTCACTAGAAAAATCTAGTTTCTTCTTTCACAAGTTGTTTGTTAATATTTTAAATTCCTTTTTTCTTTACATAACTTTGCTTTTAGATTTCATATGCTCAGATGATCTTATCTGAAGTCTGTCAATGGAATATGTATTGTTTTGAAATTCACTGTGGGTTTTTTTTCCTCTACATAGCCTTATTTTTCACATTGACTCACAGCTGTGGAATGTTAGATTTCTAGACCCTTTGTTCCCACTATGCATTGTTCATGATCCTGTTTTTTTTTTTTTTTTTAAAAAAAAAAAGGGAAAAAAAGAAAGCTTCTTTTTTAAAATGTCAGCTAACAAATATATGGAACACTTTGAATAATGTATTGTGCTGTTGTTTTGCTTTTTTTTTTCTCTATTTAATCAACCAAACAATAAGTATTGTTTTCTATGTATGATAAATGTATCCTGCAAATAAATTCATTGTTTGATTGTAAATGTGCTTAAATCTGTTTTTAAAAATAAGGTAAAAGTGACATAATTCCTTAGTCCATATTCCTTATACCATATACTCTCATATATTCTCATACTCTTCATACGAAATTTGTATTCTCTTTCTGGATACCAACAAGGTACCACTATCCTTTTCAGTATCTGGGCACGTCTTAAAATTAGTAACTATCACTTTATTTTCCTTTATTTGCCAGCTTATGACAGTAATAGTTTGAGTTATAACAGAAGTACATGCAGACAGACACCTATGTGTTATCCCAGAGTAAAGCTAGCTTCATTTGAATGTGACCAAGGTACATGGTGACTGCCTTACAGGAGCAAACCCCTTCCTCCTGTCTTAGTTCCTGTGTGATTCTCTGATGGAGTTACGGACTTCTGCTGGCTTGGTTTGTAGTGACAAAGTGAGGGAGCTGGGGTTGTTCAGCCTGGAGAAGAGGAGGCTCCGGGGAGACCTAATAGCGGCCTTCCAGTACCTGAGGGGGGCCTACAGGAAGGCTGGGGAGAGCCTGTTTACAAAGGCCTGTAGTGACAGGATGAGGGGCAATGGCTTCAAGCTGGAGGGGAGCAGATTTAGATTGGAGATCAGGAGAGGATTCTTCACTGTGAGGGTGGTGGAGCACTGGAACAGGTTGCCCAGGGAGGTGGTTGAGGCCCCTTCCCTGGAGATATTCAAGGAGAGGCTCGACGAGGCCCTGGGCAACCTGGTCTAGTTGGGGGTGTCCCTGCTGACTGTGGGGAGGTCGGACTAGATGGCCTTTGGAGGTCCCTTCCGGCCTGGGCAATTCTATGATTCTATGATTCTATGACATTTGACACAGGATGCTGTAGTCAAGGGAAGTGAAACCACCACCTCTCTGCGTGTTAAGGACAGTCCTATGTGAAGAACTTAAAAAGTGAGATCTTCGAATGACATTGAGCTGATGTTATGTATCACAACCTTTGATTTGTATGGATACACCAGCCCAGAGCTGGGCACATGTCCTGCTAGTTCTGAACAAGTGTGTTAGATATCCAGATGCTCTCTGGGGCTGCATTACCATAGCGTAACCAGGTTGTTTAGTTTTATTTAAGAATGAAGCTTCACTGCTCTGTTTCTTGAGCAAGCTCATCTAGAGTTGGCCAGGTTATTTGTACCGAGAACTAAATTGTCCTTTGTTGCTTATTGGACAAGCTGTTACTTTACACAAGCAGAGCTGTTTCAGCAAGCACGGCTTTGTTCCCAGATAAAAGATTACCATGAGAAATAGGCACAAAGCACAGACTGGACACATTGGGAGGATTTCCCACATGAGTCACTGTGCAATTTTCTGAATACTTGCATGAGGAGATGGTTTTGCTTTTTTTTTTCTCTTTTTCATGTTGAAGGTAAAGACAATAGTTTATTATTTTGTGAAGCATTTAAACTTCTAGGAGGATCCTGAGGTTTTTCGGTTGATTTTGAAAATGTTATCCCTTATTCTGATTATGTATGTTCTGTAGTCTAGAATAAAAACAATGGTGTCTTAATACCGCGTTGAGGAATGTTACCTTAATCGCTAATATAATTTCAGGGTCAGATTTAGAAAGAAATACTGTATCTATGAGTCTTACTGAGGGTAACTTTATAAAGAAGGCTCTGATCATACCAGTTTGAGTCACCAAGCAGAAGCATTCCTAAACATTGTTAGTAGGTCTGTATGTATTAAACTGACCTAAATACTTTTTAAGATTTTTATGAGATTTTGATGTGAACTACCCGATGACATACGATTTAAGGTTTAATTCTAATCTTATGGTGGTAAGATGGGAGAATCTGCAACTTTCATGAGGTCTAACCAGCAGTCACCCAGACTTCTACCAACTTTTTTCCCCTTACCTCACGCAGATGTGGGTCTGGTGTTTACTGTGATGCTTTTAAGGCTTCAGTGTTGTTGGAATAGCATTGGATGTTCTTACCAATTCTATATCTTACCCTCTACATTTCTGATTAATTGAACTCTTTTTAGTTCTTTGTGAATATTGTAGTGGCTGAATAATATGTAACCCCCACTTCTGACAATCTTGAAAACACATGGTCATACATCCTTTTTCATTTCCCCTGCAAGGAATCTTTCAGGCCGAAAAGAAATATTTTTCTTTTTTTTATTGTCTTTTTTTATTTTTTTATTAAATGTTATCCTTTTTACTTGCTATTGTATTATGAAAGTCTTTGTGTCTTTTTCCCTTTCACAGCTCTGTGAGGGTCTCTATTGAAATATTACCAGATATTTTTAAAAGTGTGAATTCCTCTAAGCCTACTGAATTTGATTCAGTTACCCACATAGGCACCTGGTGTGGTCTGAGATATCCTAAGGTGTTCTTAGGTTAATAACCTGACTTGGAACAACATTTTGAAACTCATCCCCCACTTTTCTCCTGTTGGTTTAGGTCTTAGGGTTTCTAAGACCTACGCATGGGGTTGGCAGATGTGGGTGAGGCCCTATAGGAGATCAAAGACATTCTGGACCAGCAGCTGGATACTAGGAGGGGTACCTGGGGGCATTTTGTATTACACCAGATGCTTATATGTGGGCAAAAAATCAAGGCAGACTGACTCCTTTTCTTTTCTTGCCTTTCTTTTCTTTTTGACTCATGAATTAAAGAGGAATACGAGGCTTTTTGGGTGAGTTTCATTTGACATAAAAATACATCTACACTTTTCTGTTTGTGCTTAATATTGCTATACAGGCTGTTTTATAAAAGTTAGGCTAGCAGAATACATGCATTCTCCTCCTGCTTCTGGACCTTAGGTCTGGAAGCAGCAGAAATGGGTATTGCTGCCTTATCTACAGCAAGAACAAGGAAGGCTTATTTCATAAGGAAAATACCATCTGTCTCCAGATGTGGAGTGGTGGTAACAGCAGTGCACAGATTTACAGGAAGCGATGAAGAGGCGCCAGGTGGGGACAAAGCTGTGTGAGAGGACTATGATCATCTTGGCCAACTGCCACAATTGTATACTTGACTCTTTTATTTTTCTTTTTTTTTTTTTTCCCTTGCAGGAGAAAAGAATTGGTGGGTCTTGCAGTTAGGAATGGGATAAAATCAGGGAAGGGCTGTGATAGAGAGAAGTGGTTTGTTCATTTACAGAATGTTTAAATCGGGGAGCGTGTGTACTTTACGAGTGCAGATAAAAGTGCTGTTTAGCAACTCCACGATAAGCATTTTTATTACTTTTTTTTTTTCCTTGAAGCATTTATAGAGCTCACCTGCAAATAAATCTAACAAACTTCCATCCTGGGTAGAAACATTCCATGTAGTAAGATGAGAGAGGCAATAAAAGCCTGTCCTAGATAGCATTTCAGGGCATTTAGACCTCAGAGTCGTGTCCCTCCCCCTGTTTAAGGATGGGGCCCGATCATGCTTTCAGTTAGGCTGGATGCAAAGTCAGAACTTCTCTATTCTTTCCACATTCCCTCTTCAGCACGAGTTGACCTCACAGGTGCAATTAAGAAAAATTAATCAATCCATTTTTATAATGTTTTGCCCCTTGGCATTGTTTTCATTCCTGCAGCTATTTGAATAACTAGTAGAAATGGGGCCAAACCACTTGTATCTCTATCATCGCTACGAAATCAACAAAGGCAGATTATGAACATGCATTATAAACCACAAATTCCTGGGTACTTACCACTGGTTATACCAACAAACTCTTTTTTTTTTTTTCTTCTCCTCTGGGACTGTTTACCACTCTTTATTATATGATTGAATTTATTCCCTGGAGATGTTCTGTGAGGCACTTGCAACGCTCAACGTGCTGCAGCGCTGAAGGAAAAAATGGGCAAACCAGAACTTGTATTGTATGCTTTTTACAACTAGATAAAATTCACTTTTTCATTTACTGGACCAGTGCAGATAAGTTATTAGTCATATATGAGGGCCCTGGTTATTTTTCCACCTTTTATCTTCAAAGTTACTTCTAGGGAGAGCACATCAGTAGTTAACCAAACTGGCCTCTGCATACCACTTTAACTGCAATTAAATATAACTGAACCAGAAGTAAAAATACTACTGAAATAGTTGTGAAAACTGTAGCATATTATCAAGCAGTATTTTTTCTTCAACATGCAGAAACCTATTGTTCACTTGAGAATTTACCTAGCTGGAAACTGCAAAATTTTTTTAATCTTTATTTTTTATCTTGACATGAAAATACCAAAAGCAATTCACAAGAAAACATCTCAGCTTTTACTTACAGGTTAACTTGGAGGGGCTCACTTTTAGCATGTGCAAATGACGGTGTAAAAATTAAACTGTACATTTAGCAACATGATATTAAATGTGATACTACTTGTGATAAATCATTTTGTTCTCATATGTGTGATTCAAGGACTGGAGCATCTCCCTTATGAGGAGAGACTGAGAGAGCTGGGACTCTTTAGTCTGGAGAAGAGAAGGCTGAGGGGAGACCTTATTAGTGCCTACAAGTATCTCAAGGGCGGGTTGAAGGAGGAGGGAGCCAGACTCTTTTCAGTAGTTACCAGTGAGAGGACGAGGGGCAACGGGCACAAGTTGGAACATAAGAGGTTCCACTTGAATATGAGGAGAAACTTCTTCACGGTGAGGGTGACGGAGCCCTGGAACAGGCTGCCCAGGGAGGTTGTGGAGTCCCCTTCTTTGGAGATTTTCAAGACCCGCCTGGATGCAGTCCTGAGTAACATGCTCTAGCTCTAGGCAATCCTGCTTCGGCAGGGGAGTTGGACTAGATGATCTCTATGGTCCCTTCCAACTCTAAAAATTCAGTGAAATTCAGTGAAATTCTCCAGTTCGTT